AGGCAGAGAATTCTTCTACGAGTTTTTCACTTCCTTCTTCCTATTTCTATTATTGGTTATGAATTTTAGTATTGTATTTATGCATACTATTATGAATAGCTAATTTGTTATCTTTTGATAGAACCTTTTGTAGGATAAATTCTTGATGTTTTTATATAATTGAGCCGTTGGATTTCTCTACTTGTTCAACTACATATTTATTGTTGTTGATTGAATGGCCATCAAATGGCTGTGCCTATTTAGTATGTATTGCTTGGAAAATGGTACATATTTAGGTAGTTGTTGAACAACATCACTCCTGGCGTATGTGAGGAATCAATACGAAGGGTTTAAAGGTGGGATTAGGAATAACGAAACCTTGGTGCGATCTTAGTCAGCGGTAAATTAGTGCTAGCTAGCGTAGTTCGGAAGAATATCTCTAATAAATTGCGGTAGTTGCTCGGAAGAAAATCTCTAATAAATTGTGGTAGTTGCTCGCAAGAAAATTATGACACCCGAAGTACTCACGATAGGTAGAGAATACTTAGGCGAAATTATAGAAGGCGTAGCGGGAAGGATTCCGACAATTGGAAAAATCATAACCGTAGACCTCCTTAGTCTTGTCTCAAATTTCATCCTTGTTAGTTGATAATTTTATTGCTTTATAATAGTTGTTAATTAATTAGTTAGAAATAAACATTATAATCTCTATAATTAGGAAATTGTTTGGACTTGTATTTCTTAGCAATATTGAACAACTGTAGTTAAGCCTTAGTTCTCTGTGGGATTCGACTCCGGACTTGTAAATCGGATTATATTTGCAATGACCACTTAATCCTTTTTATATGGTGTAGTTGGACGTGAACAATGGTCGTCTCGTCTCATGATAGAAGCTGTCTCTTTTGCCTTGGCATAATGGAATTAAGACAGGTATATTAGCGTTTCTGAGATTATAGTTAGCTTTGTAATGGAAACAAAATACAAATTTACCACATTTTTGTTGTTTCATTTTCCTTGTGGGAAATGATTACGAACTCCTATAAATTAAAACTATTTCTTCCTCACGTGCTAACATAATATAGATTATATATTATAGAGTATAGACCTTCAAAGTTATAGAGATTACTCAGGGAGCAGCTTGTGGCAAATAGATAGCTTTCGCCTGTGCGAATCATTTTGAAATTGAATTTTGGGAGGTTGTTCTCTCAAAATATTTTAGCGTCCACGCTAATCTTGTATTCTCTTATACCGTCTCTAAACAGTGAATTGCTCATATTTGTCTATGAATGTAGCTTTAGCGACATAACTATATAACATTTTGTGTGTCTGGTGGTGTATTTCTCTTTGTTGTTTGGTAAGAAACAAGCATTAGTAACGGAGGAAACTCGTATGGAGCACTTCCTTCTTAAATTGGCCCTACGCAATGCGAATTTTAAATTAGTTGGAGCAATGCTTTTCAGATGCCAAATGGTTATTTAAAAAAAAAACAACAACAACGACCCAGTGAAATTCCATTAGTAGGGTCTGGGGAGGGTAGTGTGTACGCAGACCTTACCCCTACCCCGAAGGAATAGAGAGGCTGTTTCCGAAAGACCCTCGGCTCAAGAGGACAAAAAGACAAAAGGAGACAATATCAGTAACACCACAGAAAAAATAGGAAACATAGGAACAACATGAAATCCAGAAGAAAGATGCAAAGCAAAAGCGAAATAGTATCCCTACCAAACTAGTCTCACAAAGTTATGACATAAGGCAAGACTCAACTACCTCCTAACCTACAACCCTAATACTCGACCTCCACATGTTCCTATCAAGTGCCATGTCCTCGGAAATCTGAAGCCTTGCCATATCCTGCCTGATCACCTCCCCCAATACTTCTTAGGCCGCCATCTACCTCTTCTCGTGCCCTCCACAACCAGTCGTTCGCACCTCTTTACCATAGAATCCGGGCTTCTCCTCTGAACATGCCCAAACCATCTGAGCCTCGCTTCCCGCATCTTGTCATCAATGGGAGCCACGCACACCTTCTCCCGTATATCATCATTCCTAATCTTATCCATCTTAGTATGCCCGCACATCCACCTCAACATCCTCATTTCTGCTACTTTCATCTTCTGGATATATGAATTCTTAGCAAGCCAACACTCAGCCCCATACATCATGGCCGGTCTAACCACCGCTTTATAGAACTTACCTTTGATTATCAGTGACACTCTCTTGTCACACAATACTCTAGATGCTAACCTCCACTTCATCCATCCTACTCCAATACGGTGTGTGACATCCTCGTCGATCTCCCCCCCCCCCCCCTGGAAAACCGACCCAAGGTACCTGAAGTTGCCTCTACTCGGGATGACCTGTGATTCAAGCCTCACATCCACGCCCACTTCCCCTTGCTCAACGCTGAACTTACACTCCGGGTATTCCGTCTTCGCCCTGCTAAGCTTGAAACCCTTAGATTCAAGAGCCTGTCTCCAAACCTCCAGCCTCTCGTTAACACCGGCTCGCGACTCATCAATCAGAATTATGTCATCGGCGAATAACATGCACCATGGCACATCTTCTTGAATGTGGTGTGTTAACGCGTCCATCACTAGGGCGAATAAGAACGGGCTAAGCGCAGAACCTTGGTGTAACCCCATAACAATCGGGAAATCCTCAGAGTCGCCTCATACTGTCCTAACCCGAGTCTTTACCTCATCATACATGTCCTTAATCGCCATAATGTAGGGAACCGACACGCCTTTTGCATCCAAGCTTCTCCAGAGAACCTCTCTAGGAACCTTGTCATACGCTTTCTCTAGGTCAATAAACACCATGTGCATGTCTTTCTTCCTATCTCTATACTGTTCAACCAACCTCCTAACAAGGTGTAGAGCTTCTGTAGTAGAACAACCCGGCATGAACCCAAACTGGTTGTCGGAAACGGACACCGCCATCCTCAACCTCACTTCAACCACCCTCTCCCACACTTTCATAGTATGACTCAGTAATTTGATACCCCTATAATTGTTACAACTCTGGATATCACCCTTGTTCTTATACAATGGGACCACCGTACTCCACCTCCACTCATACGGCATCCTCTTTGTCTTAAAAATAACATTCAACAACCTAGTCAACCACTCCAAACCTGCTTTCCCCACACACTTCCAAAATTCTACCGGAATCTCGTCAGGCCCGGTCACTCTGCCCCTACTCATCTTACTCATAGCTCCCACGACCTCCTCAACCTTGATGCGCCTGCAGTACCCAGAGTCACTGTGACTCTCGGAATGCTCCAATTCACCTAGCACAATATCCCGATCCCCTACTTCATTAAGAAGTTTTTGAAAGTAATTCTACCATCTCCTCTTAATCTGGGAATCTTCCATCAATACTCTACCATCGTCGTCCTTGATGCATCTCACTTGGCCTAAATCTCGAGCTTTCCTCTCTCTTAGCTTGGCCAGCCCAAATAACTTCTTCTCCCTGCCTTTTTCCCCTAGTTCCTCGTACATACGACCGTAAGCCGCAGTCTTAGCCTCCGTGATCGCCAGCTTCGCTTCCTTCCTAGCTACCTTATACCTCTCCATGCACGCTCGCCTCTCCTCCTCACCTATGCTCCCCACTAACGTCTGGTACGCCTCCTTCTTCGCTTCCACTTTACCTTGTACCACTTTATTCCACCACCAGTCTCCTTTGTGCCTGCCAGAGACGCCCGTCGAGACCCCTAACACCTCTCTCGCAGCCTCCCTTATATAGTCTGATGTCGTTGATCACATAGTGCTCGCGTCACCACTGCTCCTCCAAGCTCCCATAACCGACAACCGCCCCTCCAACTCCTGGGCTTTAAAAAAAAAAACCTAACAAAAGCGAATTGCAGCTCTTGCTCTACGCGTACTTAATCTTTTTTTGTCAACCATTCTTTGGTGTGCTAGCTTGGCCAAGCTGACTCTAGCTATGTCTCGTATGATTCGCCAGTCTCGTTGCCTCTAGCTAAAGATTATGCTATGTATTCCAATATAAATCAAAAGAAATTCCAATTAGAAAATTGTCACTAACTTTGTTCAGGTTATATTCTTTACCCAGAACCAGAAGTGGTTGTTGCGAACTCCACTCATGTGAGTTTGTTCATATTACCAGTCTTTAATCCCGGGTAAAGGAGGATATGTGAGGTAATTTGACAACCGGCATAAAACTAGTTAAGTTACAATGAATCCTCACTATACAGCAAACGTTGTAATATTGGAATCAAAACGGGATTAAATGAAGCGAAATAGACATTGAGAATTCATACAGTTGATTCCAACTTGCTTAGGTTTTAGGCATTGTTATTGTATCTGGTGCGCTGGGGTTGAGAGGGGGGAGGTTAGATGAAGCAGGGGCGTATCTAGGGGGCTTTCACGGGACACGTGAACCCATGCTCCCCGCCTAAATCATGTATAGTAATGTTATATTTTCTCAAAAATATTTAAATATAAGCATATGCACCCATGCTCAGAATATTATATGATAGTGATAGTTATTGGGTGTACCTCTCTAAGTGAGGTTGTTAGTTCAAATCTTATGTCAATCTTGTTATTTTTTTTAGAACTAGATGACCACGGGAGATGGCATGTACAGTGTCACTTTTGCGTATTAATTAAGTACTTTTTCTTTTTATTTCTTTTTTTGTTTGGTTTATTCTTTCAAAATTTTCAAACATTGAAATTCCGATACTTCTTTTGTCACTGTAGAATCTTATATTATTAAACAAAATGTGTATGTTAAAATTAGTAGCAGTGTATGATGTAGTATATAGTCAATGGGTTCAACTGATCCTTATATTTTCAACACGAAAGATAGATATAGATGTAAGAAAATTACTATTTTAAAAAATAACAATTTTGAACTTATAATTCCAAAAGTGTAATGGGTGGACAATAGTAAGAAGTAAAGGTTGAAACCGTAAAATTTATATCCCTCTTCTTAATTGTGCACTCATCCTGCCAAAATACTGGATCCGTTTCTGAGATGAAGCTATATATTGGTCAATCTAATGTAGAACAATAACTGGAAAGAAAGTTTATTCAAATTCTGAGGGAATAGTAAATGCAAAACAACCGTGGAGAATGTCAACTTCACAAGGAAGAAAAATACATGTCTTTTAATTAATTTCAAGACTTAGGCCAGCTTTAACATCCGCGAGGAACATTAATTTTGCATTGCTTTGGCAGTTTCATAGCAGCTGCAGGATTGATCCCACGTTGGGCGAGTTCAGATTTCTTGTTGCACATACAACGCAAATCGGCCTTGTGCAGAGCTGCACAACAATCTGCTGTTGGTGGCGGAGGTTTCTGGCCCATGACTGCTGGTAGACATTCCGCGAGCTCATTAATTGTGACCCTGCAAATAGTTTTCGGAGTTCCAGCATTCGCCATTTCAATGTACACTGTCATCAGTGCAAAAAGCAACAAGGTCATGCACCATGATTTTGCCATTTTGCTACGTGCAGTTTGCTAGGCTTGTTACTAGGCAATGGTTTTTATATAAGTAACAAAGGATTGGAATGTGACAAGATCTGTGGTTGTTTATCCTCACTTTCGGTGACTGTATCTCATGTGAATCCAGCATGTGATTTCAGGGTCACGGACCTTGGACCTTTTCCACACAAAACAGAACATTGACAATTTAATAAACCAATGTCTGTGTTTTCATCAAACTTTGAGAATAATTTTGAGATCGAGCCATGTGCATACCACTATGAAAAAATTATATGGATAGTGATTAGGAGGAAGAGTGGATCATTTTCAGTGAAAACCTTCTCTTAAACCTCATACAGAAAAGGAAAAAAAAAGAGAACACAGTAGGTATAAATGGTGCTGGGAGTTATCTGTCACTAATATTAAGAGAACTGTCGTGAATATTGTCAAGTTAAAGGGCAATCATTTATTACTATAGGAATTAAGACAGTCTAAATTTGAGTATCTACTAGAAGTTATAGTTAAATTTTCAATCCTCAGAAAGATTAAGATATGGCTCTACAAGATATATGACTTTTCTTCATTTGAAAACTAGCATTGTTAAAAGAAGGTTATTTTGCCACCATTTTCGAAAGATAATGGTATTATTTACACATTTCAAAAATGATGGATAAAAATCGACTAGCCGATACACGAGATACCAAAATGCTATTTAGTCTTTTAAAACCACTAGGGTATTTTCAACCTTCTCCTCTACTACAGAAACGTTTGGAAGCATACACAAAAAAAGATAAATGGGAAACACTAACAAGCTTCATGAGCTTCACCTTGTTTGATGAACTCAAATCTTAAGATCCATCATATGCAAGCGTAAACGGAGGCTTTTATATATATATATATATGCAAGGCAGCAGTAGCATCTTAAATGTACAACCCAACAAAACATGGTATGGCAAGTTGATAATCATATTTACATTTCTCCATCATTCTACAGTCTGCTTCTTTACAGGAGTTAGTAACTGCCTATGAACACCAACCCTATGTCAAAAGGCATATTAAGCTACAAATTAGAACTATGCAAACAACCCATAGAACAAATTCTACCAATAACATACCTTCTTGAGCAAAACTTCCAAAACGAAAACAAGTGAAGCAGAATGCAGCTGAACTTCCCTCCAGGAATTGGGCTAAATCATGTTAAGACAAAACAAGTTAGCATCAGCACCATTACCTGCAAATGGAAATGGTTTCTTAATACGCTGTCGTAGATAATCCCATGCAAGCGGATCTACAAATTTACATCACAAATCATATGAGAGCAACCACAAATAACCACCAAATAAAAAAAAATTATAGTACTGGAGAACATAATCATAGACGAGAAAAATAAACACTATTATCAAATATAAACTGCATATAACAAGCCCAATAATTTTAAAAACTAACAGCATCAAGTTCAGCTAAATAGGATAATATAAAATCAAATAACAAAAAACAAAAGGCGAGCATGAGAAGAACCTAACCCAACTTTCCTGGATATAGCCTTTACATTGTCAAACTACAGTTGCTCACTCTGCCCATTATGTATTATGCGCTCAACCAATTAGGCATTAATTATGAGGAAATTTCTAATCGTATCATGATCTTGAAATATTGTAGGTGATCAATAAAAAGAATTTGCCAATATAGAAGTGACAAAAGAGATATGCATAGAGAAAGAAAATACAATAAGATGTAATACAAGGAAGCTCAAAAATTTACATATTCAAGATACGCATTTTTGTAGCTACAGGTGTTGAAGTTCTTTACAGCCTTTATACACTACAAATATGATGCAAAAGTGGTGCAATATTCACAAGATGAATTTCAGAGTACTTTTTTTTTTTTTGGTTTTCAGATTATGATTCGGTAAGCCATTGTGACAGACACGTACGACCTTTTGTATTGTAAATTTGAAATAGTACTCTTTTATTGTCTTTTGTAGACCTTGTATCAACTCCATTGCCTTTTTTTAAAATAAAATTTCCATCGAACTTTATCTGATTCAGCTTATTCTTTTTGTTACCTTGAAAGGTTTGGAATACATAGTGAGACTGCGTGTAACAGAAAAAGCCTCACAACACTACGTAAAACTTGCTTCAATTATTAATAGTTTGATATATAATCACAAAATCTTTAAAGAAAATGGAACCACTTTACAAACAAATTGCTCAATATCGAGTATTAAAAAGGATCATGAAGAAAACTACATACTCTGTGTTAACCAGTCGGATCAGTGGTCAAGATTTCTTAAAAAGGTGATGTCTTGCCAACATCTCCGTTATACCAAGTGCAGAAATACTTTCACATCCTAGAAGCTCTTGCAATTTTGCATTACACCGTATGACCATCGAATTCAAAGGGTCCTGGAAGTTTGGAAAATAGATTACAATAATGAAATTCTCAAACATATACTGTAAGGGAATTTGAAGAAGCAAGAAGCAGGTCGCAAAACAATCTCATGAATTACACAAAAGGAGAAAAACAAGAACAATAGATTGACAACTAATGATCTGCTCAAGAAAGTAGTAGTTGTGCGTGGACAATTGATCTATCATTTGATCTTACAACTCAAAGAGAACTAAAAGAGAATAAACATGATACAATGGGAATCCAACACCAATAGTTGAATATTGCCAACATACAATTGGGTAATTCAACATAGTCACATAGCTTTTCATGCCAAGTAACATTTGCAATAGAAGTATTGATGCATATATTGATGAAAAGATGAAAATAACACATGGAAATCATTCATCACATGCTATAGGGCTGCAATTATTAGCATGGAGGCAAATATTTCACCAGATAAACACAACCACAAATTCAAAAATATCTACAGTTGACATATGCAGGGGAAACAAGATACACTTAGCTTTTTTATTACGGCACTTCCTAATGATTAACATTGAACCTACTCTCTTAATGCAGATTATGAATGTCTGTAATCATAGATGCTTGTCTGACGAATTACATGTGCAGATGAAGTAAGACAGCAGGGAAATACTTGAGGGAAATACTTTCTTAAATTTAGCTGAGTTCTCATAATATGTGTAAACTGAAACTAATCATGAAATTACTTGGCTAGTTTTGCTGAGAGCAATGTGAGTTAAAACGTAAATAGGTAACTACTCTTATTAAAGTTAGCTGAGTTCTCATAATACACGTAAACTGAAACTAATCATGAAATTGCAGTAAAAAGGCAGACTATTGGACAAACTAATATCGACCGGAAATGTTCACTTGGCCACCCACCTCAAGCTGGCTCACCTTTATATACTCCAAGACCTTCCTCAGAACCTCTGCTTGTGACATCTCACTTTCTGAAATACCCAAAAAGTTTGCAAGTGCTTCTGATATTATCACAACTGGAACAGCTTCCTCGCTTTTACTACCAGATTCCTCCTCAGTTTTTGCTCTTTTAGGGTTCTGAGCAGTCTGCTCTGTACATGTCATAACCAATTGACAGTTCTATTTAAGGGTCAGAATCGCCCAGACAAAAAACAGAGAGAAAACAATTGCTGGTGGAATCATACTTGAAGGTTCGAGAGTGACTATATGTTTAACTAGCAGTCTATTCATCTTGAACATATCGGTACAATCCGTCTCAAATAACAAACGCAGCTCATCGTTGCAGATAATCTTCCTTTTGTTATTTGGATCTTGAAGATTATGTTTCCTTATGTATGCCCACAGCTGCTTGACTATCTTAGTTGGAAAGGAAAAGTTTAAGCAGAAAAAATAGAAACCATCTTAAACCAAAAAAAAAAAAATCAACAAGAAGAAAGGAAAGGTTGCAATCTAAACATCGAAACCTCAGTTCTTGGCAAGGTTGCCTGGCCAACAATGGTTTGCAGTTCAGGAGAGACACCACAGAGTTTGTTTAATCCACCAGAGCCACCTCTTCTTTTCTTTCCACTTTGACCACTAAAGTACAAGGCAAAATCTCTCATTAAACCTACCAGCAGTAAACTCTCAGAATAAAACATTAATTAATCTAAAATAATGCAGCAGCAGACAAATGCTACACAGTGAAGTTGCACCAGAATTTTCTGTTACAAGCTATAAGGTCAGGAGGGTGCAAAAAGAAGCTTCCATTATAAGCATTTTCCCTGAAAGTGGTATGCATACCACAAAATAATGATAGTGTTTCACATCACCAGTTTTTTTCATTTATTGGCATCTTCATCAAGACTTCAATTATTAGAAACTTACCTTCTTACTGGTAACAGCCTATATCTCCACCCCCACCCCCACCCCCACCCCACGCCAATGGCAGAAAAAGAAAAAGAAAAGAGAAGGGAGAAAAAGAAAACATGGAGAATAAATCTTTTGGAAACAAGCCCTTTTCAGTATTTTATCCGTGATTATTGATAATAACTTATTCAACTCAAAGATCACGAGTAAAGAATTACAAACAAAAAGAATTTTAGCTGACTGCAAAAGAAAAAGATACTTTAAATTAGTTTGGTCTTCCCAATATTGACACCACCGGTAAGATAGGGCCTCTGTATATTGTCAGCAGATAGACCTACGTGTTATAGCAGCTTAAGGAAAAACAAATGTCAAAATCATGCTTTCATCAAATCTATCTGTTTAACTGACCTACCAAAAAAATATATCTGTTTAAGTCGACCAAATGAAATTCTACAGTATAGTAGCATGAAATTTCAGTTCATTAACTCACTTGATGCTGGTAATCAATAAACTTATCCTTTAGACCTTTACCGATAAAAAAAATCAGTTCATTTAAGATGCCATATTTTGTGTGATGTGAGATACCGTGGACTATAAATTTACTCACTATAAGAAACTTCTTTGTTCTTTCATATGTTACAAGTGTTTGTCATGATTTTTCACTGAAGTAATATATTAAAGCTATTAAAATCATCAATAACACGGCCGATATTTAAGTTAGCACCCATTCAAGATGGCTTAAACTGATGCATACACCCAACTCCAAACCAACAAAATCCCCACAAACTTTGTTCCTATATTACCTTCCATGCATTGGGTACAGTAAGGGCCATTTCATTCTTAAATTGCAATGACCGGAAAAAAGATGAGCTTTTCCTAAGTTCTACCTTACAATCTCAAACGGGTAAAAATATCAGAAAAAAGTAAAGTAATCCTCTTAAATGCAAGCAGTTAGTGCCCAACATAACTCAATTCAAACCAATACTTCAATCTAAGGTGATTCTTTAGAAGAGACTTAGAAATCAACTAAAGCTGAAATTTAGTTGGCGAGAAGATGGGGGAACTTTGTCTAACACGCAAAAGAAGTTCCACTATCTCACCAAACTAAGAAGCTTTCCGATTTGTATCACACTCTTTTCTTTTTAGTCAATCCAAAAAAATGACACATTTTGTATATCTAATTAACTTACAAAATTCTCTTTTTACCTTTAATGAGACACCAAAATGTTATGATATGTTTAAAACCAAGTTCCAAAAGTCTTTTTTTTATTCAAACACCATCACATAAATCGGAGGGAGTACTAGAATTTATTTTATTTTTTAGAAAAGGAGTACCCACTAACCTCTCTTTTGGGGTTTCAGAAGCAGCTGACACTGCAGGCGCCGTGGCGGCATGTGTGGTAGGAAGAGGTTCAGACTTGGAAACCGATTGCGGCAGGTGGTTATGGGGTAGGGTTGGGCGGAAAGAGTAATCGTGGGGACGATGGGACCCACCAGAATCAGGAGGGCGGGGTTGGAAATTGGGGCAGTGGTTATGGACGGCAAAGTGGTGATTTTGATGGACGAGAGGAGGCTGAGGCTGAGCGTGGTGGCGGTTGAAGAGGTCTTGGATGTGAGCACGAATGAAATCAACCTTGTGAGAGGGGTCATATCCGCCAAGCTTGAACTGAAGCTGCTGAAGAATGCCGGTGAATGTTGGGTTAGGGTTAGGGTTTGGTTCACAGAAGAGAGACTCCAATGCTTGAGCTATGTCGTCATCGGAAACCACCATTGTTGTCCCTCTCTCGCTCATGAGTAGTATTATTTCCTCAGTTGCTAACTGTCACTGTTTTTCCCTAACTGAAATTTAACGGTTTCTTTCTCTGTCCCCCCCCCCCCCCCCCCC